CAGGATTTTCTCGCTGAGTTGAAGACCAATTGGTGGCCTTCGGCTGTTATCTGCTCTTTGGTCGGATTGTTGTCGCTTTGACATATTCCCCATTTCCATTCTCAATTTTATCATTCATCTTAGACTAAAATATCACTCAGTACACACCCAACATCCAATGGATGTCAAAGTCTACTAAACCAAAATAAAGATTGAAAGGACAACGCCTAGTGTCGTTAGCTTTATGAATAATATAGCTGCAAAATGATGGCTGTGAAATAGCATTTGTTTTATTAAATTCATGTTAGTGAAATCCTCATTCTTGTACAACAAGACTCTATATTCATAATGAAATTTAGAGACGGTTTTTACAAAATTACGATATATTGTTTTTGCTTTCATTGGGAGACCCACATTCCAATGGAAAAAAAAAAACACAATATATCGTAATTTTGTAAAAACCGTTATGCTTCGGCCTCGGTCATTGCTTATTGCATATAATTTCACATAAGGTGATAGAAGATGTTGTCTTCCACTTTCAGTAAGACTCCGAATTGAAGGCCTGAGTGTGACTTTGAGATGAAAAAATAGCAAAAACAAATCGATGATCTCTTGCTGTGTGTTGAGGTAAGTGACTTGAATCAATGCACCATATCTCTTGAGTAAAATTTAACAATTGGGTGATGTTAATCGAACACGTCATAGCGTTAAGATCTGTTTAATAGACTTGGAAATCTTAATTGTTTCTTGGTATATTATTTATCTAGCATAGCCAAAGATCAAGAATAACAAGACAAGAAATTATTTATAAAAATGAAAACGTAAAATGAACTACAACCTGATAAATTTTAATTATGAAGTTTGGCATTCAAATGGACAGAGTTATACCATTTTGTTTAAAAACTAATCTCTTTTTATAACCATTGATAACTGTTTTCATTTGTGTCCGAGATAACAACATCGACATTTCTTTGAACAATACATATCAAATTGTATGTTTATCAAACTATTCAGTATTCATATATATATTATTTTTTTTGTCGTTCTAGCATTACAGATCGTTACACTTAAAATTGATCGCAATTTCACACGCATTTATGGCTGTGTTTACAATTAACAAACATAGCCTTTATATTCAAAATTTCACTATAATTGCTAAAATTTGTACGAATGTAGATCATGATGAGATGCTGTTGTCACTTTAACGTGATTAATCTTTATGTTAAAGTGTTGAGGTCCTGCTTATATGATTTCCTATTATTACCATATGGCAAAATTTGGGGTAATTTGCTAATTTGCATAGCGGCCATTTTGCCTTATCATGACGGCAGCCCTTACAATAGGATTATATAAGCCCTTTTAATAAAAATGCCAATATGCAAATATCTATGTCGAATGAACAATTTGTTCGCATATAGGTGAATTGTACATGTTTTTAGGCTTCTGTCCGTGTACAAATGGACATTGTCTACTCTCAAATCTTTCGGCCTTTTTAGTTTAAAAATCGGAAGCGTAACCATTGTGTAATTGCTATTTAAGATCAAATAAAATGACGTAAAATCGTAAAATAGCAAGATTCAAAACAGAAATACACATGCAAGAAGATATTGTTCATGATTTGTTCGCATATAGGGAAACACCTTGTAGGTTGAATTTTAAAGTTAAATAACTTTTAACTTACCTGCTTTCTTAAGTTTTCGGCCAAATTCTTTTAAAAACATGATGATTTCAACCTTCCCATTTCGTAAAAAGTCAAATTTTAAGCATTTTCCCTTAGAATTACACAGCATTTTTGTAAATATCCGCCAAAGGAAGTTTTTAAAGATACATTAGTTTTAGATACATGACGGAAAAGGACTGGATTATCCGCAAATCTATAATAAATTAAATTTTCAATCTTAAGCTAAGGGAAGTAATTTCATCAAAAGGGACAAAGTCACGTGGTGCAAATGATTTAAATAAAGTACCTTTGATTTTGCCATATGCGGCATCACATTATTACAACACAATACAAACACTGAATTGTTGCCTAACTAACACAGAATGAATATAAAGTTTTGGTATTCAAATGAATTGCAATACTACATCAAAAAGAAAATTGCAAAGAACTTGTTTTTATTGTTATTTTCAAACAGAAAAGGGTGTAAGAATCGAAACAGTTATCTGGTTGAGTAATAAAATATCTCCAGTAGTCGACACAATATTTCAAAAGAACAAACAAATGTTAATGCGTCGCATGCCCATTGTGAAAACTGTATTTCTTTTAATTGATATTCAAATTGAGATGCTGGAAATCCGACAGTGTATACATAATTTAAAAGAAATTTCCAACAGAGCCAAAAGTTATAGCCCACATCACTAATCAGCTGTTCATTTTGTTAGTTCCATTGTAATCGTCTGGTTGCTCTCTGCTAGTTTATTAGACCTTGTATAGCATACTATACTATAACGGTTTGCTCATGGTTGAAGGCCGTACTGTGTCCCATAGCTGTTTACATCCTCGTTCTTTGGTGTCTGATGAATAGTTGTCTCGTTGGTATAATCATACCACCTCTCCTTATTTTTATATTCATGATTACTTTTTTTTCCAAATCAGATATAAAAAAAAATATGGCTATGTTAGATTTAACAAAGACATTTGACTCAGTGCAATAAACCAAAGTCTTCATTATTCTTAAACGTATCAGCATATACGCTAAAACAAATCTATTGCTTGCTTTATTTCTTTAAAAATACTATGTGAATAGTCAAACTACAAGAGTATGTCAACGATGTGTATCGTGTTCCACAAGCTTTAACTATATTCCTTAGTCACATCTACACTTTAGGAATAATACTATTTTACTAAAACTAAGGTTGAACTCCTTGCGAACCATTTTTTATCTTGGGTGTTCTTTTTAAGCCTTTTTATGCCCTTTTTGGTATCTATCGTACCAGTCCCGATGAAGCTTTTTATATAAGCATGTACCATGCGCAACGAAATCAATATTGCACGTTTTTTGTTCTATCACCATTCAAGTAAGTCCCGAGGCTACCATCTGCCCATTATGTAGTGCTTCGAAACTTTGACGGTGAAAATAATACATTTGTCTGGTAAATTTCCAGTTTATGAATAAAGCTATGCCAAATAAACTTACGTTGCAACTCTCTCATGGAAAGCTGACCTTAGATTTAGACAGTGTTGGCTCTCTGTTATGGACATTTTGATTTTAATATTCTCTGACGTTTTATATTTTTGTCTTGTCAAAACTCGCCCGCAAGTGCACTGATGATTATTATTACAGAAAACCGTGTCGTGTGGACGGTAATCGGTATCATGCATGTTTTGTTTTATTTCCGCTGGGTCGATACCAATGCTAGTGATCGGCTAGTCCCCCATGTTACTATCCAACAAGTAGCCACTGCTTCGGTACTGACACTTTTTCAATAACAGCAAGAATCGACTGGAGGCAGATTTACGAATTCCTGTATGCATGACGCGAATTTCAAGTACAACTTTCGTCAGGTATACTCAAGACAAAATAAAGGACAGCTAACAATATAAAATGTGTGTCGATCATGAAATCATAAAGGTCCTTAACAGATCAGCTACAACCATGTCTTAAGTCTTTTTTACGTGCTGTAACTTTAATTTTTTGTTTAAATACAATTACACAATTTATGAACTGAAAATGTACAAACTAAATGAATCAATAAAACCATGTTAGTACCAAGACATTTACTTTTTGGTGGACGTTATCTCTGAGATGAATGCCAGCAGCGGTATCGACCAAGTGGTAATCAATAAATCTAGCAGTTCATGCTGATTTCTGTTTGCAAGACACGTCTTTCCGGAATGACTGTAATCAAGAAGGATCGAGACCAAAATTTTACGTTTAACATATAAGTTTTGAGGATCATGTTGTCAAGTGTATATTGGCATTGCTACTTTAGAACACCGCCTAGCCTTTGTATAATTCGCAATGTTCGAAATGACTGGTATGATAACCAGATATGCCTCCCTTTTTATATATGCTCCGGGTTATTAAATGACAAAAGTGGCATTACCAGGAGGAATGACCAATAAAGTGTACACTTAATCTTATACAGCTATGAGCGAACCGATAATACTATACCGTAAGTGCATTTGGGGGCACTATATCGTCAAGTGTCATTTTAACTGTACAAAATAGAGCCTTTAAATATTTTCCATTCGTTAAAAATTTACTTCAAATGCAGCTGCTCGAGGTGATATGGGAAGGACATCCTGTCATACATAACAACGAATACATTTCTTCAATGTAGACTTCTTCGCTCAGAACAAAATAGAATATCTTATTAAATATTTAAATGAACATCTAGGATAAAAAAGGTTAGGGTTTTGGGGTTGAGAAAATTGTAAATATCTTAAACATTGGATTGATTGATTGATTGTTGTTTGCTTAACGTCCAGTGGAAAATATTCCATGCATGTTCAAGATGATTAAGAGATATTGAATACGACACGTCGTTTCAAACAAATCAGTTGGCCTATGAGACTGGCAGGTACTTTAGGCCTCCAATCCCGGCAGAAGCAAGATTTTTGTAGTCAGAATTACTGACGATGATTACGAAGCTTTTTAAACATCTCCTTCAACCATAGTCAAGAAATTTTGATATGTTTACATATATATATGGATTTAAAACTTTTGACCAGCAAAAAAGAATGTTTAGCAGTTTTAACTTTGATAATCAATGTATAATGTTTTATATTGTTAATGTCGCATAAATCAGAATTTTATGGCTGGATGTGTAAACATTACAAATTTTGTAGATGTTTTATGACGATCAGTATGAATTTATTTCAAAATATCTGTTTAATCAATTTATGAGCTTGGGTTATGTGTATTTCAGCTTAGTCTTGCTCAAAATTATGACACTTCCTTTGATTTGAGTTCCTTGGTGCATTCGTGATTATAGTGTTTGTTTTTCTTGTATCAGGGTAAACATTGGATATGGTCAGCTAAAATTCATTATGCTAATTTTTACGAAAATAGCCCAGTTTGCTTAATCAACTTTATTACATTTATTAGAAAACAGTCGCATGAACAGATTCATTTATAAATACAACATCAAATATAAAAAAGTGGTCAGAGTAGTCCTTCAAACTTGTCTATGTTGCCTTCATAAGTGGTCTGAGTTGTTTTTAAAACCCGTCCGGGTTGCCTTCGTATTGGTCCGAGATGTCATATATCCCAGGGTATCAATCTGATAAATATAGAACATTTATTAAATCACTTGTCAATGATTGCTTCCTATAGACAAGTCAAAATATCCAACGTATAATGTGTTTAAAATTCTGATGACATACTAGTATTCGTACAAAATATCGCAAACAATGAATTGAATTTCAGTACCACGAAAGGTTACTATGTATTTTTTATATGATATATATTACATACTTGTGACTATAATAACATGACAATTTTACTTTTATAATTTAAGAAATAACATGTTTTTAATCTTTTTTTACTGTCTCTGTTGCTTACTATGTGTTTAAAAGTATAAAAATAAATTATAGTATAGCATTCAATAACTGTCAATTTTTCACCTTACAAAACTATACTATACTGGTCTAATTTACATTAATAATTTATGCGTAAAACAATTTGAAAAGAACTAGGAAAAAACTTTTGGCACAGGATGTCAGGATGTCAAAATAAAACAAAATCCATTGTTTTTAAGTGTTTCCTGCTTGATAAATATCCTGTTATTCATCATTGATGATAGTTGTTTTCCAAAATTAAACCATTATTATTGGAAATTCATATTCCTCGTATGAACCACTTGACACCAATTATGATGCACCTTTACATGTAGCATTGCATTTTGTCGAAATTCCGTCAAACAATGTTTTGACTTGTTTAACTTACTGTCAATCAAAGCTGTTATTTTATGCATGGTTATATTAGTAATCAATGCAGATGTTCGGAAATAATTGGTTAAAATTAAACTAAGGCTACTGAACACTTAGGCAAATTTGACCGAAAAACTCCAAAGGAAAATGTACTAGTATCAAGAAATAAAGCAAGCTTACTTTGTGACTTAAGTCTCGATTTTGTTAGTTATTTTTTGTGTGTAGTTTCGATCTGATAAGACAAGCTTTTTTTATTTATTTTTATAGTTTGTTCTTATGTTGTGCTGTTACGCACACGTTAAGGGGAGATGTTTAAACCCGCCACATTAGATTTAAGCCTGTCCAAAGTCAATAGCTGACAATTTAGTGGTTGTTGTTGATTGCTGTCTGTAATATTTGTTTTTCGTTTATTGTTTTGTCAGAAATCAGACCGTTGAATTTTTTCGTTTGAATAGTATCACATTTTGTCATGTCGGTGCCTTTTATAGCTGACTATACGGTATGGGTTTTGCTCATTGTTGAAGGTCGTGAGGCGAGGAAAAGATGCTTAAATCCAGATCATGTGGTCTCTTTTGGATACTTGTCCTATTGGGTAATCAAACCACGTCTTCTTATCTTATCCTAAATGTCGAAGTCGCCAACGGAATGTAGTATCGTTATGTCCCGATTAAGATAAACAAATAGTCAAAAATTATGTTTTAACTCTAATTTTATTTTATATTTATGTTGTCAGTATAAGAAGGCATGGATTATTAACATACTTGAAGTTTTTTTACATTTCCCCTATTCTCATTGTGTTATTAGTATAGAATAACACACTTTGATAGAAATAAAATATGGAGATATTGAGAAAAAGCCAGTGGGTCATCAACCTAACACAATAAGTTAACCAACATATATTATTTATTGACTGTTTGCGATTTTGAAAATATAGAATCTAGCAGAAACAAAACTCCGCTCGTTGGACTTCCGGGACTTCTATTTCATGTAAGTCAACACTGTAACATATGACCGTTTGGGATGTTTAGTCCTATTTTAAATCATCCTAAAAGATATAGAAAAGGCCGGTTGATTATTTAACATGAAACAAAAAGCTTAAGATAAAGTTTTAAACAAAAAAATTGTACTCAACATTATGATGTACATTGTACTATTCTTCGGATATCAACAGTACAATGTTTTAGTTGAATATATGTATACCTTTTCTGTCTTATGAAACGCTTACAAAACCATTTCCAAAAGTTTGAAATTGTTCATCATAAATGTTAGTGTAAACAATATATTATTGTGGAAATCTTAACATCTATACTACTAAAATAACGAGGTCCAATTTGTTAGCCTGCATGACGTAAAAACGACAAATCAAAGAATTCAACTTTATATATAACTATTATAGGACAATGGAGTTGAATAAAAATTACACCATTCCAGGCCCTTTTGTTTTCCACATAATTAATATTACGGTAACAAATAATAAACAAGTTCCGGGTCGAGTCCGATACCGATACTAATAATATATGAATGTATGTATGTATGTATGTTCTGTATCTTCCTCCTTTATTGGGAGTACCACCATGGGTTATGGTGTTAAGGAGGACATTTAACACACTGTATCGGTACAGATTTAATGTGTGCATTTGCCTACCCAGTTTCCAAGTCTGCCCGTGACGGGTCTTACTACCTGTCATATGTAGTTTCCGGTTGTAGTAAGAAAACCAGGACGGGTTCAAACAGAAAGATTTCGAAAGCGAAGAAACTGTGCAACTTATAATCAGCATGACTTTATCATAAAACAAAACGAATATTAAAAATCCAGGCTAAAAATAAGCGTAGGTACTTTAATTCAGTAACGGACCCGCGGGTGTGTTCTAGTATATATTGATATACTTACTTATATATGTTAGCGGCAATAAGTGAAAATAGGCATTAAGCTTAAATCCTGGGCAAAAAGCTAACGCCTAGGCATTTGGTTATTCCCTGAAATTTGCAGGCATTAAGCTTATTTTCCGAAATCTGATGATGATTATTCAACCTATTGCCACACATCATTTCAGGCAATAAGTTAACTTTGTGATTTTTGTTTATCTTCCAAATACATGTACATTCGGTGAAATATTCTGATGAATAATTATTTTTTTGAATTATATGCTAAAAATTAATATAAACTGATATAAAAGATCTTAAAATTTTAGTATTTTTTCGTATTCTAAAACAGAACTTATTCGTATTTCTTTGTGGTTTTGCTCTTCAATGATCGAGCCGGTTTGGGCTGGTCAATAATTATAGATAACCGAAGATATGAAATTTTGCCAGTCATATAATCTTTCCTTAGATACCCATCTTGTCTTTTCACTTCTTAATCTGGATTTTTAGCATTAAAGCAAGAACAAATTTCTCGAATCTTTGCGGAATATAAATTTTAATCAGGGAAAACAAAGATCATATACCCAAAGCAAAAGTACAATGGTCATTTGGCAAATATCAAACTTTCAAAATCAGAAAATAAGGCAGCTATAGACTATTAAAATTTAAAATGGTATGACATTTTTTACCATTGGAGGTTTGAAAGACTGGTAACTAAAGTATAAGAGAATGATGAGGGAAATTTCAAAGTTAATGTTTTTCTAGAGGACCTGTATGGTATATTGGGAAAAAAACAAATAAAGAAATATGTCAAAGCGGCCTATTGTTATTTTAGACCGCAGAATTAAACAACATAATATAAATGGCTTTGCAAACATTTTCCATGATTCCATTGTACTATTTCTTCCAGTTTGTGAAAATTGTAACATGACAAAATGTGCATAGGGAAGGGAGTAGCAGTAAAACCCGTTTTATCCAAAGAGTTTTACAGAAGAGGACAAGTTGATTTAATCGTTTTCCAATCAAAGTAACTATGGCATGGTATTGGTTGCAAAAATTTGATATTTTTCATTTAAGTGCAATATTTTTTATTTAATTGGTATATTTCTTCATTTAAATGCAATATTTTTTTATTTAAATGGTATATTTTTTCATTTAAATGCAATATTTATTTTTTTTCAAATGGTATAATTTGTCATTCAAATGCAATATTTGTTATTCAATTGGTATATTTGTCGTTTTAACTTTAATTTGCAATGTTTAGTAGTTTTTATTATTTATATGCAATAATTGCATTATGGGAAATTGTTTGACGTCACAAGGTCAAATTTGCAACAACGTTTGTGATTGGTCGATTCTGGATTTTATATGTTATCTTGATAAGTAAATTTTGTACGTTTTTTTTTAATTCATCGTATTACTACAAGATATAAAATTCATGACTCAATATTTGGAGAATGAAAATACAAAGTTTGTTATTCTAATCAAAACAAACTTATAATAGAAGAAAAAAAAGACAAAGAAAGACAGACAAAAAATGACATGGCAAACAAAAGAGACGAAAAGAAAAACAACGGACCACAAAAAACATCACAGACCACTACATATCTGAGCAACACGAACCTAAACTAAAACTGGCGAAACATGTGCTCTGGAAGGATAAGCAGTTCAAAACGGACGTTGTACGTACGGTTTTGGGATTTTCCCAAGTCAAATAGTGACACCAGTGGTGTAACTTCAGTTTAAATCCGTTGTAGAGTCATAACCCGTTATAATGAAGCACAAACTTGCAGATTGGTAAATCTTCCTCGCTATATCTATACATAAGACATAACCAAAATAAAACATCGGAACATGTTAAGTCTCCTACTCTATATGTTAACAATTTGAAATAAAACCATTTTCTTATGACAAAGACATTGAATACCACAAAAGATAATACAGAAAACTAAAGCAAAACTAAAACGTCTCCCCTCAAATAAAATCTACGCGTGAACTAAGGTTCTCTGGAAGGTTAGGAATATCCTGTTCCACTAGTGGAACGCTCAATGTTGCTCATGTTATGCAAAATTCAGTAACCAACAGAGAGAAATATTCATCACCACCTCGGCAAGCAGCTAAGAATGAAGCATTATGGTGTTCTATATTGCTAGTTTTTTTTTCTTTAAAGAAAAGGAATATATACATAGTGATTCCTATGTCCAAATTTAAATTCAGAATTAAGTCCCCTTCTCTTTCATTTGTTTTTCTTTCTCTTTTTTTGTAAAGCAACTAATGATTTTTATATTGACCTAGTGCCATCCTAAAACTTTTTAAATGAATCCTAAACAAAATTTCGGGTTCTTTTATGCTTTAACACAAATTTTCATGCTCATGCTTTTATTTGCAAATTTCTAAAGAACTGCGATTGCTTCTGATGGATGAAAAGGGCTCTTCTTCCCATGAATATTTCTCTCTGTTGGTTACTGAATTTTGCATAACATGAGCA